ATATATATATATATATATATATATATATATATATTACATCATACAATGTTAAACAGAATGGTTAAATATAAACAGAACAAGAAATAGAAGGATCATTCCAAATTGTGTTCAAGATCTAAAATAAATTATACCATCCTTTTCGTATATCTTGGGTTCCGCCACACATACACATACTTTTAAGTATTTCATTTTGGAAGAAAATACATCAAAGCAAAATGCAAGAAGGAAAGGAAAAAATATAAGTGGGAGAAGTAAATGAAAGCGTGGAGGAAAGTGTAAAAATAAATAAATAAATGGAAGTACAGTAATTAGAATCAAATAAGAAAAAATGGATATCGAATTAATGTACCTTGTTCCTTTTTCTCGCCCAATTCTTCTTCTACTAATGGGGACTCTTTAGTCAACTTCTCATTTGCTGCTACCAAATATTCCATCTTCCTCTCTTCTTGAGGAGCTACTTTTATGATTCGTGACGCGTTTGTTTCAGGTTTGACTTCAAAAGACTGATATGAAACTTCTTCGTCAGGAAACGAATAGACATCTTTTTTTGAAATTTGCTCTTTTGGAAAATTGTCCTCGTATTCAGAAACGAACTTTACAGAACGTTGGTGTCTTACTCTAAAATTCGGTGTTAACTTTTTGACGAATCGTAAAATTTCAGGAGATCTCCTCTTCTTATCCCAGGTTTTCTGGATCGAGTCATCTGGTGACAAAAAGATGGAAAGCGAGTAGAAAAATAATGAAAATATTTCCAGTGAGATGAAACATGACCTTGAAGCAACACTATGTAGAATTAAATTATTAAATTTATTACTATTATTATCACTATTATTATTAAAATAATAATAGTATTATTAACAACAACAACAACAACAACAACAATAACAATAACAATAACAATAACAATAACAATAACAATAACAATAACAATAACAATAACAATAATCATCATCATCATTTGTTGATGGACCTAACACTGTGGGAACATACTCGTACTAGTGGGTCCACCTGATAAAGGCAATCTATACGGCTGGAGATTTTTTCATTGGGACAACATGGACATCCAAACTTTAACATATAATTTGTCTTCAGGTATCGACTTATTCTAAACAACAATACTTATACATATATCGGCCTCTGTCATATGTTTTATGCTATACTTTTATCATTCTATCACAATGAGAATACAGAAATTGTTTACGCTGGGATTATCAGAATAGTTATTTTTTTCAAATATTTGTCAAACGATGCTTTTATATACTCGTGATTGTTCTGCTCCTTGGAAATCCATCGTCCCCGCTCAAATATGAACACTTGAATCGAACATACGAATTGAACATCCGGACTTGAGATTCTTGGAACTAAGTGTGATAGTTTCCTACATCATTGGCTAAATTGGCGTTACATGGAGGGCTAAGCGAATGGAGATAGATTCGCCACGCCTCCTGTAATGAGCTCAACGCTATGGTGTTTTCTTCAGTATTAGGGAGTTTTAGCGCCACGCGTAAGGTAGCGGCGGTATGCACTAACTGTCATGTGACGGACCTTGAAGTCTTAACGTCTTACCTTAGGCGTAAGGTACGACCTTATACCTTCATAGTGCACGCTTGTGGGAATCTCTATGGTCACCTTACAAGCGGCAAAATGACCGCCAGACTGCATACTCATCACGGAGGGCCACAAAATATAAAACTCCGTGCACAATGTATATTTGTTGTTCTGTTGACTCGTAACGTGTTTTAAATGTCTCACCACTAGCCTACACTCTTTGATATATTATGCAATTTCACTGTTCAACGCTTGAAATGCTTCCTTTGTTATAATGCATAACGCAATGTTGCAATTGCTAAAACACTTCTAAATGTTGCTCATTACAACCGTATAAAGACGTTAGTCACGTGATCAATAGAGTTTAAGGACTCGTCATTACGCCTGGCGCTAAAACTCCCTATTGTTGATAGCAACGTTCTTTGGGAGGAATCGCTGTCCCACTCGGTGATTAGTGGGAGTTCATTCGCCACTCCTCCTGAGATAAGCTTAAGGCTCGATGTTTTTAGTATTGATTAGTTCTAGTCAAGTGTTAAGTCAATTGGTTCTAGTTTTAAGATTCTCAAAATATTCGTGAGTGAATGATTTGGAGACTCTTCTGGACAACGGCTAAACCCTCCGCTCGACTTCTTCTTGTGTGAAGGCTCTCCAATTTTGAAAATGGTTTGGAATACTGAAAATAACTACCAATTTTTACCTTCACCTAAACGTGGGGCAGGAAAAATTATATAGTTCTGCAAATGTCGAAATTTTCACGGAAACAAACGTTTTGGGATTTCTAGCACCGACGTCGAACTTAAAAAGAGTCTTTCTATTAAAATGTCTGTCTACCTCTGTCCGTCCGTCTGTTAACAGCATTAGCATATACATGGCACACATTATTATCAATACTATTATTCCCAGATTTAACTCGCAGATGAATTTGAATAGAATCTTTAAAAGTTTTGGGATACTTAACATGAAGCAAGCTAATATTTTAATTGACTATTATATCCCCACCTAATCTAACGTCTGTCGTCGATCAAATTCCCCTTCCCTGTCGTTCAAAGTGACATTGTCATGCATTCCACAAGAGGTGATACTCTTCGACTACTATTACGTCCATTGTCCAGTGCGGGGGTCTTCTGTTAACAGCAGAGTAGTTCCGAGAAACCGGCACTAGAATGACCCACGCCTGGAAAGCACGGGGTCAGGAATTACTCCCTTTCGCCTAAAGAGGATTCCTTAAGTGCCTTTTCTACATGGAGCAAACACAAGTGTACATACAGATAGTAGTGCTGTGTGCACATGTGTTGGCAAATTTGAATTCGATCGACTCGTTGTCGATGTGTGCAGTGACCAGAGTCCGGGCATGCCACAACAACCGCAACGCAGCATTGATTAAAGGCGGCACCACACTTTCGGTTTTGTGCGAGTAGCGAGCGACCGCTCGCTGAGTCAGGAGTAACCTGGACGGGTTGCTAGCTGTGTGCCCAACATTCGGTCCTCCCGCGACCTAGGGTGTAGGCGTTTGGGCGCGTCGGATGAAGCCACTATTCGGCCGGCAGCACCCCGGCTGCTCGCCCGTCGCTTGCCGAATGTGAGGAGCCGCCTTGGAGATGACGGGTCGGGGTGCGTGTGTACCGGTGAAGTTGTCCTTGCCCTGCGTGCACATGCGTTCGTAGCTCTGCTGCGCACGCACAGCGGCTCTGTATATCTCTTTGCGAAGCTCTCCGTCCAGCGCCCATGCCACTCTCCTTTCAGCGTTCCCACGGCCACGCAGTAGAATGTTGTAGAGACTGTAGGCAAAGCTCAACACGATCCCTACCTGTAGGGAAAGGATTTGATAATTAATACTCGGTGGAATTTTTAATTTTTTAAAGAAATCCCTGTTAAGGTTTGGCAACTTTGAATTCATCCATTGAAACTACATTTATTAGCCTATCTTAAGATATTTTTTCATAAATGTTTGCCTGTCCATAATTGAAGATCGTTAAAAGTTTTCAAATCAAGAAGCGCCAACCAACACTACTTGTGGGACACTGCAGCAGCTTGGTAGTTTCCAAATTATACATCAATCTTTTAGAACTTTTTCATAAAAACGCTTATCTTCTCTGAATCATTAAGTAGATAATTTCATTCATTTTTTTAAAAAGCTTAATTCCGAAGATAACAAATAGTGTACCAAGAGATTGCAATAGACAAGCAAAGCAAACTTGCAGATTTAAGCTGGAAAAAATCTTAAAAATAAATAATGACTACTGTTTAGAAAACTAAAAATCACTGGATGATAACGAAACTTTAGTGCCTTCTCATGTTCGCTAAGTAAAAGTCGTCCTTGTCGTAAGAGGGCAGGAGGGGAGCCCTTTTTTCCCTGAGACATAATTCCTACCACGCCACAGCCCCGACAATTGGCTGTCGGGGACACGTCAACACTTATGGCGAGTAGTCTCGAAAGTGTAATTAATGTTTTAATCCCGGGAGGCGGCGCAGATACCTTACCTACTGGCTCCGTCAATGACCTTTATGTCATCTTGTGAAGGATGCCCCTTTCTGATATTTCGCCCCTGCGGGGCACCACTACAGCCGGAACAAGATATAAGCTTCCTGACTGGTCTCCATAGTTGTGAGTAGTGTAGTGCATATTAGCATAAGTGTAAGTGAAGGGTGAAGATATGACAAGGAAAAGAAAGAAAAAAATGCGCGCGGTACTTGGCCCGTTTGTCAGGCTACTTCGGTTTTGATTGGAGAATCTACCGAAACTCCCGAGAGCAGCCGGCCGCAAGAATTCTCACCCGGATAGTGGCTGAATACGATCAAACAAGTTTGTTAGTGTCAGAAATCCCCAACCGTCGGGATTCGAACTCTTAAGACCTCCTCCTGAGTTCAAACTTTTTTCGACAACTTCCTGCTGTATATATTGATATATTTATATTAGTGATATCTTACTTAATGAACAATTTAAAAATGATGATTAAATAAGGTCTGACAAAATGGTTTGAACCCCAACTTTTATTCTACGTGTGTACTTGACTTCAACAACCTGAATCTGACAAGGAGAAGTTGCATATAAAATTATATTGATGAGGACCTAATAATTTGGAATAATGGATAGACTACTCTTTTTAATGTGAGCAATACTAGTTATCTCAGTGTAATTGACATTACCTTATGCTCTGATGCATTTGCCATAAAATGTAACTGGTGTACTAGAGGATCCGCATGTTAGTCATCACTTGACAATATTCTTATACAATGACGTCTCATGCTTTCCTAGAATCTTTAAAATGTAATTACGACAATACAAACAGGAATGTGTTTAAATAATGTATCAGCACGTTCTTAAACCAGTAATATATGTTTGAAAAAAATAAGATATTGACTGTATCAAATACGTATTTTTGAATATCATATCAAAAGCTGCAATGACTCTATTGAACATATTAGACCTACAATAAAGAAAAAAGCAGTCTCTTGGTGTAACGATGAATGTAGAGGTGCAAAACAAATACAAAAGTGCTTTTAAGAAACATAAATAATATCAACTTGGGAAATAAAATTTTGTACAAAAACTGATTACAGACACAGCGATGCTACTAGTACTTCAAACAAACTAAAAGAAAAAAATACGAAATACTTCCTTATTACAATTTTTTCCAATAACATTAAAAATAATAGAGATAACATTCTGAAACTCGAGAAAAACGTTTGGACAGAATATGCATACTATCACATACAATAATTATTTAAAAATTATGTATCAAACAGTTTCTACGAAACAATTTGTTAACCTTAGAAAACCTCAAAAGTGCTAAAATATATTAATAGTATCCCGAAAACAATTAATTTCACTTCAATAAAATTGAAAGTTTGTTTTTCGTTTCATATCTATTTCATTGACATTGTATTATCCTTTTCTAAGTTTTAGAATTTCAAATTATATAATTTTTGCATCAACATTAGACTTGGCACTAAACATTTCGACTAAGAACACTACATTTCCATACGTTCTCGAGACAATCATTTTCAATCCTGTGTGTGAGAAGTGTTGAACACGAGATCTTAGAAGCCATTTTAAACTTGAACTTCCCAATTAATAAACTTGTGTTAATCCTCTGTTGCATGCAAGCAGACTGAGAGCATACTCTTGATTATTTTCCTCTCTTATTGGCAGTTATCAAAAGATCTTGAGTTTTGGCTTCGCGCGTCTTCCGTGTCCTTTGTGACGTATCATATGACATCGATACTTCATTTCGCGAGCATTGCTCTCCGTGTACTTGAATACTTGTACTTGAGTGTGTACTTGAGCACCAATTTTTACCCTGACATGGAGGCATTTGCATGAACACGCGACACGAGTTTCCAAAATGTTGAAAAGGTGAAAAGAAACGTAGAAGATTCCGTTAAAAATGGTGCTGATAGTAGCAAAAGTTCTTTCCAAAATGAATGCGAGCCATTTCCGGAACCCGAGAAGGGGAACACGTACCTGAGTATTGCGAAGTGCGTGCCATGCTGCTACGTTGAGTTTATTCGATCCAGATTTACATTGATAACAATAATAGAGGCGCTGCTCGAATTATTCAGTTGACTGGAATTCCCGAGAGAGCTTTAGTACTATCAGGAAACACTTTTTACGAGTAAATTGACAAACGAGTTATTAGAGACATTCGGCTAAGAATCGTGCATAGCTCCGTGTACTACCCACAGAGCAATGGGTGCAGAGCGCATGCACAGAACATTAAAACGTGTGCAGCGCATGCTGTGTTTGGGGGCAGGTCCGGAGTGGGAAAACTACATTTCGGCAATACTTTTCGCCATATACCTGCGGACCTGTACACCTGCAGAATCAGTTTTCAGAAAAAATCTTAGAACACCGATGACGCTGTTACTGTCGTTTAGCACGGACAGAGCCACGTTTGCGTAGGTAGTCTTGGTTTCTGGTGGAGGAATGTAAGCGGCCACCCGGACCCTGAGCTCTGCGGCGTAACTCGCGTTGAAAATCGGAGGTCGGTCCTCAGTGAGTAGGTGGCTTGCTGCCGACCCTTGGGCGGGATTAGGCGTGGAATACGTTAGACGACATCCCCAGCTGGGCAGCGTATCTCAAACCCGCGTGTAAAACTCCAGACGGGAAAACGAATCTCCCTGTCAGTGTTAATGACTCGAGAGGGAGGCAGGGATGAGACGGGTTGGGAACTCCGACCGACTCGGGGTCCCTCAGTTGGGCACTGGGCTTCGTCGTAGCTGTGGCCCAACACTCTGGGCAAAGAGGAGAGACTTGTCCCGGTGCACGTGAGTAGCGCATTGTTTTGACTCCGATACGTCTAGGCAAAATCTAAAAGCTGGCCAAAACTAAAGAGGGAACTGACTAGTTGGAGAAATTCCATGCCATTCTGCATCACCTCTAGTATTAATGATGTATTTGACTTTACGCGATGACCTTCCCTACACCAAAAAATATTAAATTAAGGGAAAAATGGTAGTTAAAGAATAATCATTATAGACATTAGGCCGATAAAAATTGTCTTATTGGCGGGATACGTGCTATTGCTTAATATTTTTGTTGAACTATCGTATAAAAACATCACATATAAAAGTATTACATTTTCTTGAAATGCATGTCTGAAGTTTGGTATATCTCCGCAAGCAGCCAAGGCCTACCCAGCGGCGTTCCGGCCTTGCGGCCATGAGTTGAGGGGTACATGTACTTAGCACATTCACATCTCTACGCCGTTTTCTGTTTTTTCCCCACCTGAGAAGTGAGCTTTCGTATAAACATATTTCACACTTATTTTACACAGCAATAGATATTTAGACATTGTAAAGAAACCGCACACTGTATTCTTGCCTCGACCGGGAGTCTAACCCGGCGTTGCGTCATGGAAACTGGCACATTAATCTGTAAGCTACCGAAGCTCACTTTTCCTTGGAATACGACTGATAAATACTGACACGCCTGAATGGTTTCAATTGCTCGTAAAAGGAAGTGGAATGATATAATCTTAAACGAACGCCAACTGTTAAGATTGCCACTCTGTTTGGTCGCATTACGTGAATATAACAATAATGTATTGAAACAATATTTTAAACGTACCAAAAAGCACACTGCAACAATGAAGGCTCCCACTCTCAGGGTCAGGCAACAACATTTTTTTAGAAGTTTGGATTCCTTCTTCTTCTTTTCCGCCATATCTGGTTTTTACTTCTCCAACGTCTATCTTAAAATGCGAATTTTCTATGAGGTTCCCGCGCCGAAACGTCTGAAACACAACAAATGTCCCCATAAAGTTGTAGAATTTGATATATAATTCAAAGGCGATCGACAGAAGAGGTAATCGCATCACTAACGCAAAACATTCCAAGAAGCGCAATTTTAATTAAGACGGAAGTACCCGTGGCTGGAATCAATGAAATCATAAATTGAAGCTGAGGAGTCCTTCACTGTTGCCAACATTCCCCTCACATAACATTGTGACATTCTAGAGCAGCGTTTGCCAACTGGAGAAGAAATGACGTCAGAGCAGCGTTCCCCT